GACAGCTCTTTAAATAGCAGTTAATTCAGAATTAGACCAACTGTTAATTCAGAAGACCAACTGTTATCTCTATCCATTCTTAGTTCAGGCTCTTGAATAGAGACAGAACAAAGATATTTTTGTCACCACATGGCCACAAGTGACTTGTGACATGTTCTTCAAGTTACACTCCCTAGGAACAAAGAAATTTACTTAAAACAATCTACAGAAAAGATATCTTACACAGCAATTCCTTATAAGACTTCACTAGTTTCAGCAGAGGCATGAATTTACATGACAGTGAATTACTAAAAACTACTTTTACTGAGCACTTGGTTTGCTCAAATTCATCTAACTGTAAGCTGAATAATTCTTTATCAAATCTAACAAAGGCAACATATAGCAATGTGATCTGCATCTGACAAGTCAGCAACTGCACAAGAAGGAAGACAAGGGCAAGCCAAGCCAGGATGAGATCACATTTGGGATGCCATGGCCAGTGTTTCACATGGGGCTTACAATTCAACGTCAATGATTATTATATTCTTGTTGAATTACATGCTTCTCATCACAGCAAAGCATAATTTGGCTAAAGGCACATTTATTTGAGAAACAATGTTACAATATTAAATGAGACCATATTTATAATACAAAGATATCCCTCACTGTGCCAGAGAGGAAACTACAATTGTAGTGTATTATCTCAATGCAATCAGATTTTGTAAAAACAAATGAGAGGTGCAGCACAAGGTGAGAAAGCACATTTGAGATAACAGTTTATGCACAGGTCTGCTGCTCTTAACACAGCAAGGGACGTGGCTGTCTCAGCTCTCTGCGTTAGTAAAGACCACATCATTATGATCAGCTAACACACAAAGTCCTGACTGTATCAATGACACCAAGGCTGAACATTCCCTCTTGAAATGAGAAGCACAGGCTCCAAACTGAGTGAAGAACATTCACAGCTTTCCTTTGAAATCATTGTTTCATGTCACAGGAAAAGGTAGTGTTTAAATGAAATCAGGGCTATATTCAAGACAAGAGTGTAAGAAAAAGCTCAGAACCAATGTAGTATCATGAAAACTGATGTGAATATGGCAGTTAAGTGCTTCCATTAATGCCTTTGAAATCCCTTTTGAAGGCAACTAGGATCTCTTATTTTCACAGATTAGAAAAAAATCTCCATATAAAAGGCTATCTGAACACTTTCTGAACAAAATCCAAAATATCAGAAATCCTGACATGCTTTATGTCTGAAATACCTAACAGAACAACTGGAGGTGAACTACATATACTTAAAATCTTACAGATAGGACAGAGGCTGAATCTCTTTAATTTGAATCTGCAGCAAAAGTTACTTCAGAGGATTATGAAACAGAAATAAATTTTCTATACTGATATATAATTAATATCTAATAAAAGGATAGTCAACCAATATTACAATAGTAACAGCAATATTAGCATAGTAATCTTGCAGCCATGACAGTCTAATGTTACTAGACAAAACTGGTAGAGTAGCTCTGTCACAAACCCAAAGACGTCACAGACACACATGGAAGCATGTCCTTCTACCTCATGGAGCTCTACTCCTGCTGTACACTTACATTAGTAAAGCATTTTCAGCTATCTGCTCTATGTGCACTTACATAAGGAGTGTTCCATGCTCCTCTGTAGGTTATTGAAGGCTTTTAACTATCAGTCTACTGGAAAAAAATGTTGCTATCTCTTGTACACAATTCAATTACCTTAAAATGCTCATTCCAACATTTGGATGGGAAGACAGCAGTTCACAGTCATATCAATATTTGAGTAAAGGCGTTGTACAGTAACAGTTCACTGAACAGAAAAACATCCCCCAACCACTAAAATAATTTCAAACTGAAAATCATCAGGAAGTTACATCCCTAACAAGGCACTTTATGCAGAAACTTTAACATTAACAAATTGAAAAAAGAAAAAGAAAAAAACCAAACCAACAAAATACTCAAGACAAAAACAGATTTAGGCTGTGAATAATACAACATGGTAACAACCCCAGTGACTTGAATCTAAATTTTACTAAATCTAAAGAAGTTTTAAACTGCTTCCATGCAACATCAGAAGCACTGTAAATCAAATGTGGCTACTACTTTAATCTGTAACAGCCGACTGCAATCTGTAGCTTTTAGGGAAACAGAAGGAGAAAAAAAAATCCAAAACCAAATCCCACCCTTAGATTAGAAACTGAGAAATGAAAACAATTGAATACCAACTAAAACCAAACTCTTGCAGACACTCAAATATTATCTTTAAAAAAAAATTTAAAAATATTTTTAAAAACCACAAACAAGCAAAAAAATCCCACCAAAACAACAAAAAAAAACCAGAAAAATTAAACCACCTCATACATGGTGTCTTCCAAAGACTGCTCCTGCAAAGGCCCTGCTTAATGCTGCTATCTGCCCATATCTCAAATTCTTCAACTGCACAAGAAGCAATGAAAATGGAGAAATGCCTTCCTAATGTTACTTTGCACAAAACTAAGCGTTGCAACTGACACCTGATGCTGCCAGAGATGTCAAGGGATCACAAAGAACAAAAGTCACGACCCAGGATAGATGGTAAGATGGTGACACAGCATTATGTAGCACTTGAAAGCTGTGAAAAGCCTTGCTGCTTTAGCACAGGGTGCTGTATTTAAAAGATTATCACGAAGGACCCGATTATCAAAAGACAAGACCATTAGCAACAGCCTGAAGCATCACAAAGGAGTAGCTTGGATTTCACTGTCTCTGTAGCTAACAAGGCTGCAAAAGCTAAAGCCACGTATTTGGGATTGGGGCACAATACATAGGAATTTATCGTGCCTTACTCAACTGTTACTCCCCAGCCATTTTCTAGTTTGAAGAATTTGCCTAGCTTTATTTCCCAGGATGTCATTCAGGGACAGTCACTGCAGTGCAACATACTGCACTTCACTGGGCAGGTATAAACACTTCACTCCCAGCTATAAACAACTTCTCTCTAAACCACTATATCCTATCACTGCTAATTATTGCTACACCTTCCCCTTCTGCTAAATGCTCTGAGAAGAACAAAGCACAATATACAGATGTTTCCAAGTGGACTGAATAAACTAATTTACTTTAAGGCCTCCCACATTTTACATCCCAAGATGGAGACATAACTTCTTCATCTGCTTTTAACTTCACCAAGTTTAATACTCTAATTCTGGATGCATGCCTCAAGCACAATATGATATCATTTTAACCTGAACCAGTTGAGAGATATGGAAAAAAACTGTTTTGTGCTTAACACTTCTTGAAAAAGTGAAGACTCCCTTTTTTTGGATCACTCCAATTGCCCTCATATGTTGAAGACACTCTATTTTATTTTTAAAATACATGGTTTGTTACTTAGGAACAAGCCCTTATCAACAAACAAATTCATTTAATCGTGCCCTTAATATATGAGTCTGAAAGAAAAAAAGGTCAAAAAAGTCACTGACAGCTAATGAGGAGACTGAACATATGAAAAGATTATTTATTTCAAACAGCTCATCCTCTACCACCTGAGAGCTGAGTAAACTGTGGGCATATCATTCCCATAAAGAAACTGAACATCCCCTAAGTGATCTAAACTACACATTTTAAATAGCACTCCTTCATGCAAACTTCCTGCCATGAACAACATGGAGACAGATAGCATACAATCTGAATGAAAGGTTCCAGCAAAGGGGGAGTAGGTCCAAGACAGACAGAAGAATATTTTAAACAACAAGGGAGGAAAGAGCCAAAGAACAGCCAATCAAAGAAATTCAGAACTTGGCTCATCTCTGCTGCCTTAGCGTCTCCCAAAGCTGAGTCAAGTCTGGATTCTCTGAATGTATTCCAAGTGCATTTGTTCCTCTCACATCGATGAACTCACTGGCAAAACATCCATCTTCTCCAGTGCTACTCCACTTCCTACTGCCATTATCATTACTACACCGTTTAAAAGGCAAGGTCCAACCCAGCAGATCACCCACACGGGGAGCAGTAAGAACTGGTACCACGCTGGTATGCTTGCACTAGGTTTAACAACGTGTAGAGGATTAAGGCGGTACAAAAATTAGGAAACAGTACAATTAAGACAAGTACTTCGTGCACTTGTGTTAAATGGTCTGTACTTAACATCTCACATTCTCTAGAAATGAGGTGGGAAGAACAAGCGAAGGACTGTTCTACCCTTAATGTCCTACTGGATTGGAGACTTAAAGAAACCGAAATACAAACGAAGCATGAGACTGCAAAAACGCAAAACAAACCCAGAGAATAAGGCCATCAAAAGCTACCCTTGCCACTGAGCTCCTGTATGACAGTAGATCAATCCTTTCCTCCACCTTTACAGCTGTTTTCTGTATGCTACTTATTTTACAGCCACCTATTCCGATAATCTGCAATCCAATTTCTCTACATACTCGGCACACCCGGCAGCAATTAGGATACGGGCTTTAAACACATTAATTGCTTTACACTATAAAACGCAAATGGAGGCAGGACAGCATTTTTGCAGGTGAAGGAAATTCGTTACTAATGGAGTATGTAGATATTATGGCAATAGCCAGCAAAGGCAGACTCTGGAGCAACTTAACAAATCTGCTCTTTGGGAAGGATTTTGCTAAAAAAGTTTAAATAAAAATGAAGCTGTTCAGAAATCAGTAAGTAAAAAGCTAAATACTAGGCAGTACTTAATTAAATTAATACAGTACAGCTTAATTGCTACAAAACGAAGAATTATGTAAACGTGTGCATTCACATAGTTAAAATATATAGCTACAAAAACTGCTTAAACTGACCCACGAACACTGCAATTCTCAAACATAAAAAAGACCAACTTGAACAGCAAACCATGGGATGAGGCTGTAAACAGTCTAAGGAGTGCAATTACATCCTTTCAGAGGCTAATCATGTCTATGCAATTTCCAAGAAAAAAGATGTTACAGTTTAAATACCTGACTACCAAACAAGAGAGGATAAAAGCAAACAAACACAAATATTTACCTTATTGCAGTAAAGCATCCAAAGCTCATACAGTCTCTCTCGGGATGCCATTCCTCCCCTTCCTCTTCCCGTCGATCCCAGCTACTTTTACCTTCAAGATCCTACCATGCTCAGTTCCCAGGTGCTTCTTCCACAGTTTTGCTTTATTGTTATTTATATCATAACCCGAGAAGAAGCCAAGTAACAGAATCTCAGTCTCTCCTTTTCGAGTAAACAACGAGGTGCAACACAAGCAACTGCAGACAAGTGTCAAGCATGTCCGTTCTTCGCCAGCGCCGCTTCGGTTTTAATCTCTGAAAGTGAAAACATACCCTTCAGGCCTTTGGTGGAGGGAGGAAAGCAAATCCGCACTTAAAGCCCACAGACAACCTGGGGATTGGGGCGGCGGCAGGTCGCACCGCTTTGCTCCCTGTCACTATTGCCGCTGACGGAGAGCTCTGCCGTTCAGTGTTCGCGGCGCTTGCTCGCTTTGGCGGGGGGGGAAGCCGCAGGGCTGCCGAGCGGCGGCGCCGGAGCCCTGGGTACGGCCGCTCCCGGCCCGGCAGTGACAGCCACCGCCACCGCCCTTCTGTCCCGGGCTCCTCGGCCGCTCCGGACCCCGGCGGGCCCCACAGGCCAGCGGCTGCCGGGCAGAGCCGCGGGGCGCGGGAGGAGCCCCGCGCTGCGCCGCCGCCCGCTCCTGGCCGGGACCGGCCGCCCCGCGCCGCCACCTACCGCGCCCCGGCCTCCCCCAGCTCCCGCCGCGCTGCCGCGGCCTCTCCCGCAGCCTACCCGGGCCGCGGCGAGTGGCGGCCGGGCAGGAGGGGCCGAGCCTCGCCACATCGCCCGCCCCGCCCGCGCTCCCGCACACGCCCCGGGCCGCCGCCGAGGGGCGGGGAAGCCGCGGGCGCCATCTTGGCAGCGGGCAGGGGCAGTGCCCGCCCGGGGCAGCGGGCGCAGGGGCAGAGCCCCGGCGGAGAAGGCGATCCGCAGCCTGCGGCGCCTCGCCCACAGAGCCGGCGGTTCGTGCCCGGCCTGCGCCCCTCGGCCGCACTAGGAGCGTGCCCGTTAAGAATCAGCATCCCCATCCTGAGCACCTCAGGAAACCTCTGCACTGCTTTTCTTCATAAGTTAATAAAGGATACCAAGCACATACGCGCGTTTTACATACGCTCCGGAGAGGCCTACCAGCATAGCCTGCGGAGCATGGATATATCAATACATCCAACCTGCTGCCCCTGTATGCAGCTCCCTACCTTGTATGCAGAGTTTGCATAGGACTAAGGAACCAAAGTTAGATTTCCAAAGGAGAAATGCAAAGACATCCCTCAGCTTGCGAGTGGCGCTGCCCAAGCACACCAGCCTGTGCCGACACACAGCCGAGGCACCACACTCCAGTGAAGGACCTTCCTCCTGCTCCTTCAATAACAGGATCTGCTTGGCATGACTCCCCAGGGAATGGGCTTCTCTCCGTGTCCTCCTGCTCCCTTGGACAGTGAGGCTGGAAGTTTATATTGTATCAGACTCCAAAGCAGGGAGGAAGCAGTTTTAAGGAGACATGGGGCATCTCTCTAGCTTGCTGGGAGAATCACAGACCTGCAGCTTTTGGCCACAGCCCTGGTCCTTCTGCCACTGGATCATCTCTTCACTTGGGTTCCTAGAGCTTCATGCAATAAAGCATTGTCATTCATTACACAGTTGATTACTTTCAGGGTATTTTCACATCTTTGCAATAATTTAATACAAGGTTTGGAAATCCTTTGCAAAGGAATTCACTCTGCAACATCATTGTAGCGTCTGCTACATTAATTTTTTCTAGGGATGGATAAGTATCACCAAGAGCCCAAAGACAGATTAAGATACATTCCTGCAACAAGCCTTTGCATATTTGTCTTGTTTTTAGAATATCAGTGAAGTTTCCCTGGAGAAATTCAAGAGCTAATCTGTGCTCAATGTTGTTTCATGTGGATCACCACTGTGGGAGTGGTAGAAGTATCTTTTACTGCAATATCTAAACATAGTATCTAGCACGGATGGAGGGACACTGACAAAAATGAGCCTGTAAAATTATTTTTAGTTGTGTGATACATGTGCTCTGATACTTGATGCTAACCACAATATTCTGCTGCCTTTAGGATGTAAGATCATTTTTTCCATCAAGAAAAAATAGGAGCTTAGAGTCTAACTGTCCCCAGAGCAGGATCTGCTGAGTTTAAACCACCCTGGACCCCCTTTGGTGAAATGTGTCTAGGAAAAAAGAGAGCCTGCCTCCTCCCTGAGAGATTTACCTCAGGGCTTGAGTTACTGCTGGGAGCTCCTCCCTAACAGCCAACCTGCATCACCTTTCTAGCAATGCAAACCACTGTTATTAGACCCTTCTGAAGTAATTTGATAAAAGGAAGCTCTTTCTTAGCAGGTCTTTTGAGTTACAAACTCTTATCACATTTTTTGCAGCCTTTTCTAGACTAAACAACAGCTTATTTCAAATTTCTCTTACAATTTGCTCCCTTTGAAGAAGTCAGGCCCTAGCAAAGCCATGTAAAAATCCCAATCCTCCCTTCAGATATTGCTCTGATTTTTTGCATTACTGACTCCTGTAAGAGCAGCTGCTCCTACACACCAGTCCTGCAAGAGCCTTCAATGAAGCAATAAAAAGCCTTCCTCTGACAGAAATGGGAGACTCCTCCCTGGCTAAGTGCGGCCACCCCCGTAATTCGGATGCTCCCAGACTATAAAGCAGCCATTTTCCACTCTGCTGGAGTTGTAGCAATGTAGTTATTTTAGTGGGCCTAGGCAATCAGTGCTGCTTGTGTAGGCAGTTCTTGCCTTATATAGGTGCTCTAGATGGAAACTAAAGCATTTGTGATTTGCAACAGAACAGTCTGTTCCTGTGTCATTCAGGGTGAGTGGTCTCCTGGTCTGACCTTCTAGAGGTTTTCCTAAGCCAGGAAGCTCCCTGTAAAGTTGTTGAGGTGGCTTTGGGGTGTCTGCATCAGTGGGTGTGTGTCAAGTTTAGTCTTTCCCTGTACAGACAGACATTTAGTATTTGCTATGAGATTTTTCTTATATAGATATATGGGCAATAATGGGAGAGGTCAGTGGAAAAAGGTGGGTTACAGGTTTGTTTCTTCAGGTGGAGTATAATTCTAGGTGAATTTATATTTCAGTGTACTTACTTACACGAATACTCAGCAAATGATATGGAAATCAAAGAATGGAGGAAGGTGTAAAGAGAAGCCTTGCCAGCTATGGATGGGTATAGTAGAGGAAATGTATTTGAATATGTGTATAGAGGCTTTGCCCCAGAGGTCCCGGTTGCCCTCGATGGGCTGCAGCTGCGATGGCCTTAATTGGGCTGCAGCTGTAACTGATGAAGATGACTGGGATAAAAGGGGGCGGGTAAGCCAGTCGGGGAGAGCCTTGGAGGAGCCCTGACCTGAGAGAGAACAGTGTGCAGAAGAAGGAGTCAGTGAAGATCTGCAGCCATGAGAATACATCAGAGAGGTATGGACTTTAGAAATCTAATAACAACAAGATGGGACTCTCTAGAAATAATAGAATAACAACAGATAGGTACTTTGAAATGTGAGTGTTTATGGATTGCTTCAGCTGTGAGATAATTGCTAGACTTTTCATTGCCTACTCTTCCATAGTGATATTCCAATTGTTTCATGGACCTTGAACTGTCAGGTAGGCAGTGTTCATTAGTATGTCATTGTCCCCTAGCTGCTGTCTTGTGGTAACTGTTTACAACAGTGGTTATTTCTCATACTTTGTTTATTACTTTGGATTTTAATGTCTCTTATCAGGAGCCATACATTAGTAACTCAGTCATTTTACTGTGGAGTGAACATGTTTGTCAGCAAGTCCAGGTAACAGAATGGTTAGAAAGAAGGGTGTGGATAAGGAGAAGGCATTAATTTTGTGTTGAGGAAAGATTTAACAAAGAAATGGACTACACTGGATTGCAACTTTGAGTCCAGGAACCTCTAAAGTGGCAGAAAAAGCCACATACCTTATAATACTGCTTCTGCAAGATTATGCTTATTTTCCGTGGATGTAAATAAATCAGGCAAAAATCTGTATCTGACTTTTAGATATTCTCAGGCCTATTGTTTAGCCCTAAGGCTTCTACTGAAACCAAGCCCCAGACCAACAGAAATCATGCTGAGATGAATGTATGGCAAAGCTTTTAGCTGAGCTTTTTTTTTGATGTCCTAAAGCTAATGCTTTGTTTACCAACAATAAAGACCTGAAATAGAAATGGATGTGGAAATTAGCTTAGAAAGAACCTGCCCTCAATTATTACACACTTTTTTTTTTTTTTTTTTTTTTTTTACAAACAGGCTCTTGCACAGAGTAGCAAGGAGTAATCTTTACAGTGTAGGTAAACAAATGGCCTGGTGGTTGCGTGTAAAATTTCCGTTATCAAAATACCTTTTGCTGAATGTAAAGAAATAAGACTTTTTGGAAGCTAGTTTCTGGACATTCAAGCCAAAATAACTTGTGATTGGATTTGGTGTGGCTATTGGAAAGAGGCAAGCTGGTCCTTGTAAGATGGTGTCTGTGATGATGTTTTGCTGAGGGTGATTTGAATTTCTCTGGCTATGATTGCCAGATGAGTTTGCAATTATTCTGTTTGTTAAGTCAGCAAACCTAATGTTTAATTTTCCTTCTGTTACTATATTCACTTTGTACCAGAGGTAATTCAGAGCTTGTTAGTTGTTTGTAAAATTTGAAAAGGGGAAGGAATTTGTTTGTCCCTTGACATATAAACTGGTGTCTAGGGATTTTAGTTACTTTCTTTCAAAGTGTTGGAGACTGGCCACAGCTAAAGCTAAGTGGTGATGGTCTGGCTAATAGCATTAAGTCCGCCTGCCTGCCCTGCTTTCAGATATGTGAGGTTAAGCCATTCGCCAGACTTAAATTCAGAAAGGAATTTACCCCAGGGTAGCCTGGGACCCTGGTGAGTATTTTTGTCCTTGCCTGTCCTTTCTGCTTGTTTCCACAGGGGGCCTTCAGTATAATGACTCCACCGTTGTCAAAGGCTCAGGCAGTGACTTCATCTCTTCTGCTCCCTTTTTTGTAGTATGGGCTCCCTTAAGTTTGCAGCTGTGCTAGGAATGTTCTTGTGGGGGTACCTCCTAAAGACCCTTTCAGACTAGATAGATAGTATGTGTTTATATGCTTTGATCTGCCTAGGTTCTTAAGCAAACAGTGAAAATTCCCGATGAGAGCTGAGTCTCAGGACTGCCCCTCTCCTCTGCTGTCATTTAGATTAGCTGTGCAAGAGCTAACATGTAGATTTGTGCTACAGCTGTCTTTCTTTTGCAGATGCTTGAAGGCACCAGTTGTTACTGCACAAGATTGCATCATAAAAATTGTTCTCTGTCCTTCACCAAACTGAGTTCTCACTCAAAGTAAGTCATCCTTTTCTGTACAATCTCAGTGCCAGGAATCAGTGAAGTTACCATACTTGCACTTCAAATCATTCTGCTTTAGATAAGAGGGTATTTAATGAATTATTTCACTATGTTGCAGTGCTCAGTAGTATGGATCTGCAGTATGATTCCTGAAAGCAATCAGTGTGTCAGGAAAAAACCAACATAGCAGCAACCAAGACTGTAGGATGTGTAGGGGTTAGTAGTCTCTCTTGATCTGTTTGAAATTAATTCCCTCTTAGCTGAGCAGGGTAAGGTTGTCTCAAGGATGTATGCTATAGCAACCTGGAGCCTAACTTCTCTTGGTTTGGGGAAGAAGGCAAATGAAGGGAAGTAACTAAGGGAAAATGGGCTTAGGAAAGCTCTAACTTGGACTAGAGGCAGGGTTATTGCAAAAAGTTAGATGTTGGCTGCAAACACACTGCCTGCTTCTGAGTGGGATGCAAAACCAAAGAGGTTCCCTTGAGAATATCCCAGGGACTTGGCTAGCCTAACTCCTGAGCACAGAAAGGGTATAGAGACCTGAATGACGGCTACTGTTGTAAAACTCGAAATGAAGTTTTAAAGATTCTGCAGTAGAGTGTAAACAGTGTGCTGTTAGAGTATGTGAGAGACTTGTGGGGGCCCACTTGCACACTGAACTGGTTGTAGAAGCCTTAATATAACAGGTCTCTCTTTTGGTTCCTAAGCCCAGGCCCTGGGGAAAGCAGCTACTTCTGTGCTGTGGAGGGTCAACATGAGTTCATGCCTCCAAATGGTGTGAGGTCCTTGCTAAACAAAAGAGGACAGTGTAGGCCTTGAGCTGGAAGTAGGAGCAATTCAATCCCATGCAGAAATCTGGATTTAATGCCAAATGGTAGCAGGAACTGTTGGGCACCAGGACTGTTTGTTTGTTGGGTGTTTCTTGATCATGAAGTGAATAAGCAACTGAAAGATTTATTTTGTTACCTGTAGCATTTTAAATAGTCATTGCTAGAAATAATTTTTATTAATAAACTTGGTAAATACTGTAAATGCTTTGCTCTGTCTTAAGCCATCCATGTCACAGGTGGAGGCTTGGTATGCAGTATTTCCATGATGACACTGCTGTCAGCTTGCCAGTGTACTCACAGAAGAAATATTTCTGTAAAGGCCATTGCTTTTATGGGGCAACTCAAGATGAAAGGTACATCCTTTCATCAATTCAAGCATGGAGTTAGCCCATGGGTTTGATTACAGGTGAAGTTTGGGACTTTCATAATCATAAATTATTCATTTTTCATAAATCAAAAATTTTTTTCTCTAAGGTCTGAAAGTTTTTGGTTTTGGTATTGTTGTTATTGTTGGTTTTAGTTTTGTTTGTTTGTTTGGTTTGGTTTTTTTTTTTTTTACATTGAAGCCCACTCAGTGCTGGCAGTCAGGAGAGGTTTCACCTTCAGGAAGTATTGATGGCCTGTGTAGTTGGGACATTGATAGATATGCAGCAGCTGCTTTCCACTTCATCAGGAGTTGAGGAAAGCATGGAGGTCTGATGGATCTGTGGTGATGTAACAGGAGCAGCCCTCAAAGAAAGACATCTGCAATAAAAAAAAAGTACTCCCAATCACACTGCAAAGTATTTGAAAGCTGACGGGTTTTGCCTAGGTTGTACAAAGCAATCCAAAGACTGCAAGGGTCCATAGGGACCCTTCTGCTGAGCCCCGGGACAAGCAAAGCCCTTATATCCATTTTCTATAGGATGTGCAGATCATTACTGCTGCCTTCCTTTCTCTAGTACTAGAGAATGGTGGATTTCCCTTTGGGACTCTGAAAGTGGGGAGCAACTGTTATCATTCTTTCATGCTGAAAGTATCCTGTTGACAAGATTTTGGGAGCATTTAGAGAAAGTGAAATCCTATTTGCTCTTTGATAGCTCTGTGGATGACTTCTGTTTATCACAAATTCATTCAACTTGGTGCGATCTCATGCTCCCAGTCCGTCCTGGGTTCCTAGAAATCTTCTGTAATGTAGAAGACAGACAAAGAAGGAATAATTCTACTATATCTGAATCGTGCTGAAGCTTTCACATCTCTTAATGATACTGGAAAAAAACAAGACTCTCCTGTCCAACGCAAGTAAGCCCACTGAGCACTTTAGGTCTGCTGGACTGCCAATCTTAGGAGCAGTAAAATCAAGTTAGAAATATTAAATTAAGCGGTATTGTTTGGTGATATTCCTTACATTTGTTTGATGTAGGTTATTTCAAACTTATTTGCCTGACATCTTAAAAACCTAAGATGATATAAACTGCTACCAACCTTAAAGCAAGCTGCAGGAGCCTAGACGACTTGCCAGTGAAAGCTTGTTATTAACTTGTTCTCAACTTGTTCTCAATGTCTCCTTGAGAGTCTCTGAACATTTGCAAACAAAAGCAAGTGCAGCCCCTCAGTGGTCCTTAAAACAGGAATTGTCACCATCTCTGTCTCAGGTGGAAAACTTTGGAGAAGTTTAGCTACCCCTAAGCTCTAGACTGTGGCAGAATCTAGAATCCAGACACCCTACCTATCACTCTGATCTCTGAATAGTTATTTCTGTTAGTTCTTGCCTTTTGCCAGAGGAATACCAGCACATAATCTACACATGACTATGGAGCCCAGGTTCTCAATTGCACTTACTGAACCAGATACTTTGTTGCAGTAAGTAGGCATATGCTAATTGCTGTCTGGGGAACTGGTCTCTTCTTTCTTTATTTATTCCTGCTGAAGACAAATGAAATATTTTGATTTCCTGTTCTAAGCAGACAAGCAGATACTGTACCTCAACTGCTGTGTTATTTTGCAAATCTGAGTTAGCTAAGCATGCTAACACACATATTCCTTACACTGTGCAGTTCCCATAAATGCACAATATTAGGTGTTTGTGAGCAAGAGGAAACATGCTTTTTCACACCTCTGCCCTGAGAGCCAAGTTGCTCATGCTCCATTTCCCTCTGGCTGAAGCATGGTGTTTTTATGTACACCAAATATTTGCAGTAGCTGAACAGCCTACTTCATGCAGTGAAGGACAGGCAGGAGGGCAGAGGTAGTGTCCCATGTACAAAAGAAAGGACAAGAAGGGCAAAGAATCGTTCTATTCTCCTCTCCAGTGCTGTCAGGGAAGGGCTGGTGAGGATCACGAACAGGCTGTTACTGGTGGGTCATGTGAGAGTGAAATAATGGCTAAATGAGGTCTCTGACATTAGCAAGGGGAGATGTGAGTTTTAAGCAGTCTCCCCAGCTGCTGTAAAAGTTGCTTGGTTTTATTCAAGGACTCCATTATCAGAATGTGTTCTCGGCAAAACAAAATCAAAGCCTACCATTTCAAGCCAAGATGAAGTGATTTAAAATTAAACACATACTAGATAAGGTTGCAGCGTCCTAATTGTTCTGTGCTCTCTGTACTGTGTTCTCTTTCCAAAAGTCTCCAGAACTTTGCTGAAGAACAGTAGTATCCCTGATAAGTATAGAGCTGGGATCTATTCCTAGATTGAAAACTTGTGAAAATAGAGAACTTAGATGCAAGAATCAGATTTTCCCTTCACTTACCAGGGTATGGTAAGTGTACACTTACCAGCAATGTGCAGTTGGACCTTTAAAATTTATCTAACTTATCATGCCTTAACTTATCATGAACCACTGGCTGATTGTGAATATATCTTAAACCTATTCCTCCTCTTCCCTGAAAATGTGAAAGAAATCAGATTTCCCTCTGAACTGCACAACTTTAATTTGTTTGAAGAAAGAGTTGTTTGAACCAAGGTTTTGGAATGCATTCACTGTTTATTTAGTATGAGAGCAGTAACTTAGTGTGTGTCAGCCAGCCTCTGTAAAGAGACAATTTTTGGCATTTACTGCACCACAGTCAAGAATGCTTCTCTGTTCCCTAGGTTTCAATAAATACAGTCTGCCCTGAATTTTGGCATTTCATACAAGATCCAAGAGCTATGTCAGACATTGAGGGAGCAGATCTCAGGGAGATGAACATAGGCTGGGACAAATATCAGTAAGATCCAACATTTGACCTTGGGGCATTCCTTTTTTATAGAGCTGAATATTGTGGGAAATAGAATTCTGTAGTGGCAAATAGCAAAAATACAGAAAAGACAGAAGTTTAACTGATTTTGACATTACTAAACAAGACAGACATACAGGAAAGGGAGTGTTGCCTACTTCCATGTGTATTTCTGAGAAATCGTGTTCTGTTCTGGAGTTGGGATTGCAAAAAGATTCACTCTTTTGAAATGAATGGAAAAGGTTTAATTCTTACCCATGGGGAAGAGCTCAGGTATGCCAACAAATGGGTATGATCACACATGTGATAGCAAGTAAATGGAAGATGCTTTATGATTTCAAGAAATGTGATTTTTAAGGACTCCGTATCAAGACAATAGGAGCAAATGTATTCATGCAATTTGTGGATGATGTGTGGCCCTTACTCATGACCAGGCCTGAAAAATGTGGCCTTTTCAGAATTATGCTACTAAAAGACATTCCTGCTGCTATGGCTCATACTGAAAGGATATCAAAATAATGAGAGGAGTACCTTGGCAAGTATTAATCCTTTGCCTCACTTTAACAGACACAGCTTTTATGTTAGGAAAACTGTACCCGTTGCAAATCTGATTTAACATGTTCAAGTATCATTGTACAATAACGCAGTATGGTCATAAGCAAGTTGCATACAACAGCCCACAACAGAAGTTTTTATCAGCTAGCCCTGCCAGCCTTTCCCTGGGTGCTGTAAAGATATTCTTTACCTAGGAACAGTCACTCCACTTTTAGTATCTTCAAGTTATGAAAAGGCCCTGGAAATAGCTTTGATATTAAACAGATTATTTCCTTCATCTTTAGTGAAAATTTGCATCCCCTTACTGAACTTTGCCTGTCTCTAAAGTTGCTTGGAGAGACTGTGTAACTATAATCTTAAGGGATAAACTATACCCACTTTCTTAAACTGTGATGTGCTGCTAAGCAGAACTCACT